TATCCCCCTCCTACATAAGTTGTAAGCCGCCCTGAGTCCACTCAGGGAAAAGGGCGGCCTATAAATAAACTTATACAATACAATACAATACAATACAATACAATACAATACAATACAATACAATACAATACAATACAATACAATACAATACAATACAATGATACGTTAATGGCATCTTCCTGGCCATTTCTACATCCCTCACTTATCAAGGAAATAAACCATCTTCTTCTGATTCAGAGCGGGTAGTGGTAAAATTTGAAGAAAGCCTCTGAGGGATAAAATGGGCTGGGATTTGTATAATTTTATTCTACATTTAGTCCTTGAGTTACGATCACAATTGAGCCCAAAGTGTATCTTGCTAAGCGAAACATTTGTGAAGGGAGTTTGTCCCATTTTACGACTTTTCTTGCCACAGTTGTTAAGCGAACCACTGCATTTATTGTTAAATGAATCTCGATTCCCCATTGACTTTGTTTGTCAGAAGGTCGCAAAATCTGACCACATGACTCCAGGACAAGGCAATGGTCATAAATTGAACCAGTTGCCTAGCATCCAAATTCTGGTCATGTGACCATAGGGATGCTGCAGTGCTCGTAAGTGCAAAAAACAGCCAAGGGCAACTTTTTTCAGTGTCGTGCTGTTGTACCTTTGAACGGTCACTAAATGAACTGTTGTAGATTGAGGATTACCTCCCTTTCTTCCTATCTTGTTAAAAGAAACTGGGAGATTCTGATTTTTAGAGGCAATTGGTTGCCAAGAGAAGAGAGATGCGGGGACTTTAATGCCGCTTCAAGTTGGTGTTGCGGATAAGCAATATAGGGAAAGGGTGGACCAGAGAGACACCTTCATCTAGAGAAGGCTCTGTGGTTGCAATGGGCAGCCAGTTTGTGGGCAGGTTGGTTCGCCTGCCTGCCTGCCAGAGGCTGGCGGTTAGTAGGACTAATACAAGAGTGTCAGAGATGCTGTATTTGCAAGGGCAACAACGGAAGGGAGGACGGATGAGGAGGGAGGAAGAAAGGGTAACAAGGGTGGGGAACCTAGAATAGGAGAGAGGATAAGAAGGATTAGAAGGGAGGAGGAGAGGGGAAGAAGAAAGGAGGAAGGAGAGGAGGAAAGAAGGCAAAGAAGGGAGGTTGAGAAGATGGAAGGAGCAAGGTTGCTGCAAGATAAGATGAAGGCACGGGGCAGCAAGAAAGTGACTCAAACTGAATTGTGCGTGTGTAAAAATAAATATAGAGACTAATAATGAATAGACAAATGTTAAATAGCAACTATAAAATGTATATGTGTGAATGAACTTGAAATGAAAAAATAAACTTTTTTTTTAAAAAAGAAATGCTGTAGTTCCCATCTTAACTCTTCTCTTTTTCCTGTAGGATTCTTTCTTGCCTCATGGAGCACTTGTACACAGAGAAGATGGTGGAGGATTGTGAACACCGGCTCTTAGAGCTTCAGTACTTTATTTCACGGGATTGGAAGTGAGTGCACAGGGAAGGGGCGTTGAGGCGCTTTGCTTGTGGCTCTGGGACTTCCTACCTGGTCCATGGCTGCTGTGGGGAGCCAAGCCACCCAGAAATCTCACGCTGATGCTCTTTGGGCCCTCCTAGGTTGGATTCCGTCCTCTACCGTAAGTGCCAAGGAGATGCCTCTCGACTTTGTCACACTCATGGTTGGAATGAAACAAGCGAGATTATTCCTCCCGGAGCCATCTTCTCCTGCCTATACAGACACGCTTATCGCACAGAAGAGCAGGGAAGAAGGGTAGGTATTATCCCATCATCTTCTTGACACATCTTGGTGCTTCTCAGAGAATAAATAGGCTTTGGGAACATGCAGTGGGTTTAGTTCCTGAAGTACCGTATTTTTCAGAGTATAAGACGCACCTTTCCCCTCCCAAAAAGAGGGTGAAAATCTGAGGGCATCTTATACACTGAATACAGCATTTCTGGCCTCTCGAAACCCCACTCCCTTTGCAAAAATGGATGTGCATAGGCTTTGGGAGACTTGTAGAGTGCTCCTGGCAGCTGGGGATGGCAAAAGTGAGCAAAAAATGGGCCATTTTTGCTCGTTTTTGACCCCTCCCCAAGCCCTGGGAGCACTCTACAAGCCTCCCAAAGCCTCTCCATGCCTTCCCCCACCCTGAAAAAAATGAGCCATGCAGAGGGTTTAGGAGGCCTGCACAGTGCAAAAACTTTTTTTAAAAAAATTATCTCTTCAAAATCACGGTGCATCTTATACTCCGAAAAATATGGTAGTCTTTGAATGTTCCTAAAGGAACAGAGAAACTGAGCAGAAGGTCTGGGAACATCTGGGAAGAGAACGCAGTGTTTTGCTGGACTAGTTGCTTGGATCTTTACACCAGCCTTCTTGGCTGGGAAGCTCCATGTGCATATTAGGATGTTCATGGGAAAACCTACAGATTTTTATTTTCCTTGCCTCTATAATGAGGCAAGGATCCACCGGAAGGAGGCCAAGAGCTGTTAGTCCCTGGGAGAGACTTCATAATGCAATGTACTTCCATATCAGAGGATCCCAGATTCAACCTTGGCATCCCAGGTTCAACCTTAGCATTCAGCTGTGGAGGTGGGTTTGATCAATTTTTTCTTGTGCCAATAACATCTTGGTTACATCATTTTCTTGCAATGTGCTTGAGATCTGGGGAAACTGAACCATAACTGCCTCCAAGAAAGAATGGATTTTTGAAATGAGATTGTGGCATTTTGTAGATTAAAAAAAATTCATACAGTCAGCTTTTGTAGAAGAAACTTATAGAAGACCAGAGGATCAATGGAGCATCTCTTATATTCCTTCTCTGCTTCCTTCCCCAATAAATTTGGCTATATTTAACTTAGTCTTAATTTTTTAGAACATTAGATTCAATCTGATTTTTGTCCATTAGTTGAGTCTTCTGCTGATATATGACTTTATTTTCTATAAATAGACAGTTTATCTAGCCATGTAATGTTTGTGAGACTTCTCGGTGTAAACAGCCTCCTAAATGTAAGATAGAAAATCTGGAATTTTGAGCACTTCGATACAAGCACAAATTAGAGATTGGATCTATTTTTAGCTGCCTACAACAAGAATTGCAGCTTGACCCAATTGATTCAGTTGCTGCCTTCTTATGGTTTATTTAAGTACTTTCTGATTAAATAAACATTTTAGCTATTCAAATATCAATGAAAGTAAGAATTGGAAGGGGACTGCAAAGAAAGGAAGACTCAGAAGAGACAATGTTTTGGCCTGGTACTGGGTTTGGCCAAGAACAGCTGGAGAATTGGTGTCTGCTTCTGGAAGAAAAACACAATTTTTTTGAGTGGGTGGGTTTGTTCATCAGAAATGTCCATATCCGTCTTTCGTAGTTATCCCGAGAATGCAGAGCGGAAGTACAGCGAATTCTGCATCAGCGCGCTTTGGATGTGAAACTAGATCCAGCCCTCCAAGACAAGTGCATGATAGATTTGGGGAAGTGGTGCAGTGAGAAAACAGAAACTGGACAGGTAACTACGGCTTTCATTCTTTTCAGAATTAGATTAGATTAGATTAGACTAGACTGGAATTGTTATATTTGGGGGCTAAGCAGTGGTACTTACCTGAAAATATCTCGACTTTTAAATAATGTGTCAATATAACTTTTCTTCAGGTTTAGAATATGAGCATTTCTGTAACCTACTGCTTTGAATAGAAACCTGATTGCTTGTGGGGCCATGTGTTGGTTGAAGAGAATTTGTACAAGTTTGAAAGCGTGCAAATGCAAGTAAATTAATAGGTACCCCTTGAGTGGGAAGGTAACAGCATTCCATACACCTTTGGCATACAGCTATTGTGGCCACATGACCAGGGAGATTGTCTTCGGACATCACTGGCTCCCTTGGCCAAGAAATGGAGACGAACACCATGCCCTGGAATTGGACAGAACTGGCAGGGAAACCTTTACCTTTACTGAACATAGTAGAAAAATAGCACAGTTGACAAGACAACTGACTCCAGCAACCAGGACAGGGAGGCGATCACACAGATACTATTTCGTATTTTGAATACTGTCCTTGCTGTTTTTACAGTGCAGTTAATACTACAGGTGGTGTTTGGTTAGCAGCCACCCATTCCGCAACCACATAAAATTAGAATGGTGCCAGATGAGTCGTGGTTAGGACCTGTTCTCAAAATTCTGGTCATTGCTGTCACACAATTGTAATCTGCATGTTTGGCAACCAGCTTGCGCTTATGAGAGTTGCGACATCTGCAGTCAGGTGATTGCAATTTGCGACTTTCCCTGCCAGATTGCCCCAAGCCAAATCAATCGTCAATTCAGCAGGAAGTAATAAGGAAAGGGGAGTTGTGAGATTGCTGGTCAAGAAACAGGTTGGCTACGTTATTAAATTGTTAAGGGTGTTTGAAATTAAGGGAAAATGTTGGTGCAGGGGTGGGCAACTCTGGCAAAATTTGGGACCCGTGCACTTCAGTTCTCAGAATTTCTGAGCTGGCTGAAGAGACCCCAAAGAAGGAACTTGGTGGCAACCCTGGAGAAGAGAATTCGGGTTGATTGTTTTGCCTTTTGACATTCCTTCAGCATGTTAATGTAGACATTTTAATGGAGAAAGAAGAACCTCAAAGCAGGAGATGTTTGGGGCTCTTTTTCATAAGAGGTTTCTCTAAACGGATTTTATTATTCAGCATAATGAGTATTTGAACAAAGCGGGGAACGTTTTCTTCAATCGCTTTTTCATGCGACCTTATCCTGCCTTCCTTCCAAGGAGTTTGATGAAGGGGAGATTGGTTTTGGCACTTGCTCCTTACAGGTAGACAGTTAAAAGGCAACATGCATACTTGAGTGAAGATTGGCTGCCCAAAAGCTGTTTACCCCAGCAAGGCCAATTGCTTAATCAGCCAGAGAAATAAGAAACGAAGTAAAAGATTCAGAACCAGAAATATTGTAATCTAGTTAGGAAATACGTGCATATTAGAATGAATAAACCAAGCACATTTCATATGTTATGCAAGAATTAGTTTTAGCATTGGGCATTAATAAACTGACTGAGTTGGAAGGGACCTTGGAGGTCTTCTAGTCCAACCCCCTGCCTAGGCAGGAAACCCTATACCGTTTCAGACAAATGGCTATCCAGTCGCTTCTTAAATCTCCAGTGTAAGAGAACCCCAATTTCTGGAGGCAAGCCATTCCATTGATTAATTGTTCTAACTATCAGGAAATCTCTTCTTAGTTCTAGGTTGCTTCTCTCCTTGATTAGTTTCCATTCATTGCATCTTGTTTTAACTTCAGGTGCTTTGGAGAACAGCTTGTGTCCTCTTCTTTGAGGTAGCTAGTCAGATATTGGAACGCTGCTATCATGTCACCACTATTCCTCCTTTTCATTAGACTAGGCCAGGGGTGTCAAACTCCATTGTCATGTGACATATTACGACTTTTGTCGTGATTTTGCTAAAATGAAAGTGGGCATGGCCAGCGTGTGATGGCACTTGGCCTGCGGGCCGTGAGTTTGACACTGTTAGATTAGATGTATCCAATTCCTGCAATTGTTCTTCATATGTTTTAGTCTCCAGCCCCCTAATCATCATTTTTGTTGGTCTTCCCTGCACTCTTTACTGAATCTCAACAGCTTTTTTATATTGTGTCGACCAAAACTGGATGCGGTATTCAAGGCGCTAGAAAGTAGTATCAACACTTCACGATATCTTGATTTTGTCCCTCTGTTAATGCAGCTTAGAACTGTGTTGGCTTTTTTGGTGGCTGCAGCACACTGCTGGCTCATATTTAAGTGGTTGTCCACCAAGATTCCTAGATCCCTCTTACAATTACTGCTATTAAGCCAGGTACCGTCTACTCAGTACCTGTGCATTTGGTTTTCCTTGCCTAGGTGTAAAATGATATATAACACCATTGCTAAAATCCATAGCAGAATCCTGGGGATATTTTTGTGGGCATTCATGTCTTCTTGTTGTTGTTTTTTATGTGCAGGAACTCGAATGTCTACAAGACCATCTGGATGATCTGGTAACTGAATGCAGAGACGTTGTTGGAAACCTTACAGAGCTGGAATCTGAGGTGAGGTGACTCTTTCAAAAGAGAAAGCTCCACTATTCTGTGACGCTTAACACTGAGTCATTGTTAATGGATTGCAAACTACGCTTTATCTCTCAGTGTCTAGAATGGGTAGACCTTGAGAAATAACCAAAGGCTGCTATCCCTGGGAATCATGGCAGTCAGGCAGACAAATCTATTAACAAATCAGCAAGGTCTGGCTAGCCTTTGCCTTTGACCCTTTCCAATCCAAAATGAGAAATTATGTGAAGAGACTTGGTTCAGTATCTGTCCATCAGTGCCATACTGCTAAATAAAAAAATCCAGAAAGGAATGGGAACCAAGCTTGGCATGGTAGACGAAGTCAGGAAAAAAAATCTGAATTCCAAAGTGGAATGAATCCAGTTTCTGGCTGTGGACAAAAAATAGAATTCCAGGAGTCATGCTCTGCATGTTTTCCTTACCTTGTTTATGATAATTTGTATATCTGTACATTAGATGTTTGTTGAGTGATTCCTTCTTGCTGAGAAATCAGAGGCTGATGCAGATTCTTAGCAAAAATATTAAGTAGCTTCCAGGGAGGGACTTCTTTGATTAAGCAGAGAGAATTAAGTGGAGGAGACTCCATTTCCCCACCTCAAGCTTGACATACATACTTCACTTAATCCAAGTGCCTGAGAAGAAACTATCGGTGGTGCCTTAAGCAACTTAAGTGAAAATGAAAAGACAGGACAAATTGGGATGTGCAAGGCTTGTGATATGTATGTATGAGCTGACCTGGAAAAAGGGGGCATTTATTTGCAGTCAATGGAAATGTAATATTTGCACAGGCTGCAATGTTTACTGAGATGCTTAAGGAAAAGTAGTGGGATTGGCACAGATGTCCAGATATCCTCTCATAAAGTAGAATGAAGAAGTATTAGATTACACAGAGGAGTTGCTACAAGAGGGCCTGGGGGAGAAAGCAATTTTTTATAAAAAGAGAATCAAAAGGGAAACTCAGTGGATGAAAGGAACTTCCTTATCCAGTTGTGCAGGAAAACAAAGAGATGTTATGGGAATGGGAAATAAGATGGTTTTAAATTCTTAGGACAAATGAACTATAAAGGTAAAGGTTCCCTCATACATATGTGCTAATCGTTCCCAACTCTAAGGGGCGGTGTTCATCTCCGTTTCAAAGCTGAAGAGCCATGGTCATGTGGTCGGCATGACTAAATGCTGAAGACGCACAGAATGCTGTTACCTTCCCAACCAAAGATGGTTCCTAATTTTCTACTTGCATTTTTGCATCCTTTCGAACTGCTAGATTGGCAGAAGCTGGGACAAGTAACTGGAGCTCACTCGATTAGGCGGCACTAGGGATTTGAACCACCAAACTGCCGAATTGCCAACCTTTCTGATTGACAAGCTCAGCGTCTTAGCCACTGAGCCACCGCATCCCACTTAAATGGGAGTATAGGATAGCATTATTGTCATTTCTGGTACCCCCTTGCAATACTTATGGGCTGGTAACTATTTAATCGTCATTTGAATTGCCGGTATTGGAAGCAGAAGTATAAGCAGAAAATATCTAAGAGCATCGTTTGTGTTAAAAATTGGGCATGACCTAGAGTGAACTGACTGGTTTCTGGATTCCTCTGACAGGACATCCAGATAGAAGCTTTGCTGATGCGAGCATGTGAACCCATCATCCAGACCTTCTGCCATGTAAGTGATTCTTTCCCCTCATGGTTTTGACCACATTAATGTAAAGTCCTTTCCCATTAAGTCAGGGGTATCCAGACCTGGGAACTTTAAGACTTGTGGACTTCAACTCCCAGGGAATTCTGGGAGTTGAAGTCCACAAGTCTTAAAGTTCTCAAGTTTGGACACCCCTGCATTAGGCGATACTTCTCCTGCTGCCCTTCCTGTTAAATGTTCCTTCTTGGAATCTCTGTAAAATGCAAATGTTCTGCTCCTGCTGATTGTCATCAGTTTGCACAGACAGATGGCCTCCAATAGATTAGAGATGGGGATTCTGGAAATTGCAGTCACTTCCTATCTGCAAGGAGCCATACTGGAAAAGTCGGGTCAGGATAGCTGCTTTTTTTTTCAGATTCCAGGATTTTGTTAGCTGCCTCTGTTATAAGTTATAACCTTTATTGTCATTGTACATATATACAGCGCAGTTGATTTAGCCTCTACAAAATATAAAACAGCATGAATAATATAGAAACTGGTCCTTAGGCAAGTAATTAGGGAGAAACCAGTCATATGTTTCCCTCTATGCATGGAGTGATTGTAGTTGTGTTTAGGAGTCTGACAGTCCATGGATAAAAGCTATTTTTTTAAACCTGTTTGTCCGGCTGGCTATACTTTTGTGTGTCTTCTGCCTGATGGTAAAAGTGAGAAAAGACACCGACCAGAATGTGAATCGTCCCTAAATATCTTCCCTACTCTGCTGAATCAATGAAAGTTGGCGATGTCAGCCAGTGGTGTTAGGGGGCAACCAATGGTTTCTTGTGCCGAATTAATCACTCTCTGTAGTGCTGAAAGAAAATTAATGGAATTATTGCAAAGGAATTGCTGGTGAAAGAGTCCTATATTTTTATTTCCTACTTCTAAACCGCCCAACTCCTTCAGAGTATATGTATTGTAACATCTGAGGGAATGTTGTGAGTAAGGAGCTGCAGTGTAGTAAAATGCCCTGCCCCTGTTCCTACTTGCCTGCCTAACAGAGAATAAAACATGTAATTTGCAGTCTTGTAGCGATCACTTGGGTACCAAAAAGGTGGAGTTAGAAGAGCAGGCAGATGGTGGAGAATCGGATGCCTGGGGCCATCCTCCTTGTTACATCAGTTTCCTCTCAACCTTCCAGACCCTCTTCCCCCTTGAGAAAGGGATTTCTTTCTTTGAGAACGTAATTGAAAAGGTTTGCTCAGCACTGGCCAAAGTTTCTCACGATGGGGGATGTTTGTCAGAAGGTGGAGGCGAGACTCCGGAAGCGCTGCTCTAGTGCTGTCCTTAATCATGGAGCCAAGCGAAACCGGCATTTTGGAATAGAATGAAGTAATTACACGTAGTCCTTGACTTACAATGGTTCATTTAGTGACCAAAGTTACAACGGTACTGAAAACAGTGACTTATGGCCATTTTTCACATGTGATCATTGCAGCATCTCCATGGTCATGTGATTTACATTCAGATGCTTGGCAACTGGGTTCATATTTATGACGGTTGCACCATCCCTGGGGACACGTGGCCATCTTTTGCGACCTTCCAACAAGCAAAGTCAGTGAGGAAGCCAGATTCACTTAACAACAGTGTTACTAATTTAACAATTGCAGCGATTCACTTAACAAACGTGGCAAGAAAGGTCATAAAATAAAGCAAAATTCACTTAACAAATGTTTCACTTAGCGACAGAGGTTTTGGGCTCAATTCTGGTCATAAGTCAAAAATTACCCTTATGCCAGAAAAAGTTTCAAATGTTACTGTGCATAGAATTTCAACCTTATATAGGAACTGACTTTTAATTTTCATTCCCCTGTCCCTGTGGGGTTTGAGTAGCATTTAATGAGGCAATTTGGCTGTATGGAAACATATGTCACAGAGAGGAGGGGGCCAAGCTACTTTCCAAGGCACCCGAAAGCCAGACAAGGAATAATGGATGGAAACTGACCAAGGAGAGATTCAACCTGGAAATAAGGAGGAACTTTCTGA